GGTCTGGACGCAGAGGCTAGAGGAAAAATCCTCTGCCCCCGTCGGGGATCGAACCCCAGCCGTCCAGCCCGTAGCTAGTCATATACTGACTGACCTATCCCGGCTCTTAGTGTACAGTTTGTACAGAACTCTTTTCAGCACCAAATAGTGTAAAATTTTCAACAGAAATTTTTTCGCCATTTACCCCCACCAATAGAAGAAACATTATTCCTGAAGGAATGTCCAATCGCTTAGGCAGAATCAATTTGACTCGACATGTTTTGGAGAGATGCGATAATTTCAATTTTTCTTTTTGAGAATGCCTTATCTTAGTATCTGCTTAATAATTTTGTAGCGCGCAAGTCGTTAACGCCACTGAACCAACGTTTTCTGGGCTCAATTTTATCAAAATTACTTTTTTTGAATGCCGAATGCGTTTTCTGAAATTCGGCTTTTTTATATACCAAAGTCTGCAATTTTAGGTTAGGGCCTTGAAACATGTGTTTTTAATGGGAATTCTCCGTCTCTAAGTTTTATGTCTGTCAAGCCTTTGTTAATTTCTGGGAAGTGGATTTTCTGCAAGAAAAGGGCGTTTCCCGTTTTCTTATTTGAAAATAATTCCCCGACGCTGTTTTTCGTGAGTTTGTAGTAAGCATCTAATAGAGCTCACAACACGATTATAAACTTCTTATAATTGAGGCACTGAAAGCCATTATTTGCACGTGATTCAGTAAACACGTGCTTGCCATCTTATCAGACTGGGTATATATTTTTTTCTGGGTTGGATGCTTTCGCAATGTGAAATATTTTTCTTCGTCAGTTCTTTACAAGAACAATGTAAAAGACATATTATGATATCAAACACTAAGGAACAAATTTGAAGGCATCTTTCACAAGTTACTTTACAAAGTAAATCATTCGCCATCTTTTCTTTGCAACAAAATTGCACGTGTATGCATTTCTTTTTCCGACATTCTTCTCACTCGGCACTAAAGAGGGAGGATATATGGACGCACTTGAAGGACGGCGAATGTCGTGTCGTTAAGTGTGAATGATAAACGTGGAAAGAAGAAAGAAATGCAAAACTAACTTGAAAAGTCTCTGTGACCCCCGGACGTCGAATACGTCATCTCGTCTCAACACAAGTACAGGAAACTCTCGGTTTACGAACGAATTCCATTCCAAGACGTTGTTCGTTATGTGTATCTTCCATTCCTGAGCTTTTACGGTACGTATCGTATACGTTTCGATACTCGATCGGTTCACACCTTAATGACGAGCTATGTCCACCTGCTTCTGGTCTCTTTCTGTCTTTTTATGATGTCTATCTTAGTTTCTATATACTAATACTGCGTCTTTTATTACTACCAATATCAGCACCGACAGTGCTATTTCGCTTTCGACCCATGATCGGTTAAATTTTTAAAAATATATATTTAATTCACCAAATGCAGAACTACACTTGACCGTCTAAGATAACCCAGGCAAAAGAAGTGACGATCCTATTATATTATAATAGGGGAAATGACCGAATTCTTTCCCGCGAGAAAACATTCTACGAGGCGTGGCATGTAGACAAACGCGTTTTAACTGGCTAGAACAGTTATATTAACCAAGAACAGTTCAGCATAATTATCATATAATAGTTCTGATAATTATTGTTATAAATACATTTATTAAAAGTTTATTTATTTAAATCTTTCAGTTATGTTCATCTTACGTTTGGCATTTCGTTTTATTAGGAATTCTATCTATTGGCGACTTTAAGAAATTTTGAATGAATTGTGACGTTCGTTATAGCGAATGTTCATAAATCGAAAGTTCGTAAACCCAGAGTTGCCTGTAATTGAAATCCTGGAACACCAAACAAACCAAAGGCCGAAGACAAGGCACTCATCCCACCACGGCAAACAAAGATATGAACACGAATCTATAGATTAGAGAAAGACAAGCAAAGAAAGGAGTGGGGCGATGGCACACAGGGGGGCGGGGTTAAGGAGGGCGAAACGGAGAGGAAGGGGTAGCTACACCAACAACATAAGCTTTTATTTACAAACTTTTGTCAAATAATACCTTAATGATAAACTTTCCGATCATACGTACAAACTCCATGGAGCCGAGTCTTTCCAGAGAAGCCAACAGTCGCTCAGCCACTCAAGAAGTTCCCAACATTTTATGGAACTCTAAAGTTCATTACCGTGTTCACAAGAGCCCGCTACTGGTCCTTGTCCTGTGCCAGATTAATCCAGTCCATACCACCCCATCCCATTTCTCTGAGCTCCATATTAATATTATACTTCCACGTACGTCTAGGTCTTCCTAGTGGTCTCTCTCCTTCTGATTGGCCCACCAAAATCCTGTATGAATTTCTCTTCTCTCCCATGCGGGCTACATGCCCTGCCCTTCTTGTCCTCCTTCACTTGATCAGTCTAATTATATTTGGAGAGAAGTTCAAATTTTGTAGCTCCTCATTATGCAACTTTCTTCACACTCCTTGAAATTCATCCCCCTTCGGTCAGATTATTTTCATCAACACCCTGTTCTCAAACACCCTCAGTCTTCGTTAGTCCTATAGTGTCACAGACCAAGTTTGAAACCCATACGAAACTACAGGCGAAATTGTATGTTTCGATGTTTTAATCGACACGTACTTAGAGAGCAGGCGAAAATACGAAATGTTCTGAACTGAATGGTAGCAGCAATTTCCCGAATTTAATCTGCTCTTTATTTCTTCATGAACCAAATTTTCCTTTGTCACTTACTTTCTTTGTCAATTACTGTAACTTGCCAAATTTTCAAAGGACCCTTTAGCTGACTTCATATTACGACCTTGACTATCATTTTGTTATTACGCATCTACACGTACTTAGTTTTCTCTTTGTTTACTTCCAGACCAACTAATGTCAATTAGAGCTAGTGCTTTCCTTTATGGCAATTATATTGTCCTCCAGTAGATTCACGTCATCAGCGCAGAGCAGAAGGCGGTGTGTTCCTTTCAATTTCAGTCCCACTAACTTTTCTTGGATCTTCGTAACGGTAAATACTGAAGCAAAGTTAAAAAGAAATAGCTATAAAGCTCTCCGATGATACTTTGTCATGTCATATAGTTTGTTTGCAAGAAAACGTTACAATGATGATAATGACCAACAACTTGGAAATCCAAACTACGAGACCGCTCAAGAGAGAAGCAAGAGAGCATGAATAAAACAGGCTTTCAATTTCTAAAGGCCTTGTACTGTTGTATCCCGGGGGATGTTGAAGGGACACAGCGACGTAGATCGAGCGGAAGTCTGTCGACTGCGTGCGTTGGATACTTGAGAATTAATATTCAAGTCCACTTGTAGCAACAGTAGATAAATTGATTAAACGTCACACCAATTAGTAATATCCCGAGGCAGAAAATGTGAAGCAAGACTTTGGTAGGCGTACAGAATACGTGACGCTGATGGTGAGTTCTGGTTTAGTCCGCAGACGTCGTTCAACACAGTGGTTTATAAAGCGCTCAAAAGTAATACCGTACTGACAGGGGTAAATAGATTCGTCAATTAGAAACTGGAGTCTTCCTTATGTTGGTTCTTATTTAGAGATACGTGGAGTGTACAAGCGTGTTGTGTAATTGATCTATAGATTAATTATAATCTTACTCGTAATTCCCTGACCCTTATATTTTGGTTGAAGAGAAACACAAGTAAAAATTCATAATAGGAAATAAAAGTGTCAAGCAACATACACAGTTCTATATGCAGAGGGTTCATATACGGCAGCACCATCAACGCCCAGTTAATTCTTAATCACACGTGACAGTCGAAATGGTCAATCAACGAGAATTAATACCAAAGCCCAAGGGCAGAAGGAGGTCCCTGCTGAGAATAATTCATGGGTGCTCTAAGGACCAACAGAGAGTGCCCTTAATTCAGCTAACCCCTCAGGAACCCCACATTTACGCAGCGGACTCCGCTGAAGCAGCCGCCAATACGAACCTGAAGAAGGTCTCTCTTTCATCCCAGCAATGGATTCGCATTGTTGCTGCACGTACGCAGGCGTTCTGATACTTAACTTCAATAATAATTAACAAAACAGAAGGCTGAAAATAAGAAGGGTAGCAAACTTGGTGAAATTTGTTCAAAACTCGTGTGTCTGTGTGTATCCATGCTTCAGTCAATTTATAACAAAAAACTGCGCTTTACTCTTTTCGTGATACGCACTCCCTCTGGCAGTGGCACTAGTGAGTCCAGCAAACACTGAAAAATAAACGACTCGTCGTTCAAATGATTTTCGAACCGCGGTCTAAAGAAAAGTAATCTAGAACTTCACAGTTACAAAAGCTTGCTTTGTCAACAACAACACCTTTATTCCTATCAAAGATCCTCCTCGTTAAGTGAATTAAATATAGGAACGTTTTAAATTACCTCACGCGCTCCACAATACGTGAATCCCTTGCAGCCAGAACAGCATCGCTCGTCCTCAGGAGAGTAACTTCGTTTTTAAAACCACCTAAGGGTAAGAAGACTTCACGTTACATCATCAACCTGACACACAGGACCTCGGACGTGGACGGAACATTTCGAATGACAAGATGATTTGGGAAAGGATATGACATCTGGAACATGGCATACCACTCTTCAGGTCAAGTTCATTGAGAACGGTGGGAACACAATTAGCAATGAGTAATAATGGTCTAGCGGGTTAGAACGCTGGCCTTGTAATCCTGGGGTCTCGGGTTCGATTCCCGGCGGTGCCCGAATTTATAACTTGTGTTGGGCAAGGCCGTGGTCTAGGCAACACGGAGTTTTCCTCCGGGGGCTTCCCCGGTTTCTCCGTGGCATCCCAGCAATTACTCCATTCACACACAGAAGAAGGCAATGGCAAACCACTTCTGGATCATCTGCCAAGAACGTATATGAACAGGCCCCAGTCCGAGAAAAGGATGGAAGGATCCTGTTCATATGGACCTGTCGTCAGACAGAACACTAAATAAATAAAATAAACAGATACAGTGGAATTCAGGGTAAAATGCGTCGAATAAAGGGCTCTTGGGAACATGGCAACAAACCTTTGGGATTCATAAGATGCGGATATTTTCTTGACCAGCTGAATGACTAACAGCATCTCAAGAGGAAGTTATTTATACGCTCTAGATAGCGTTGCTACTAGTAATATTAGAATTTATTTACCTTAAAACGGTTTAACACTTGTTGATTTCGTTAATAAAACTTTTATGTCGGAAGTGTATATGATTAAAGAACAATCACCACTAAACAAGCGACAAACAAACAAAACACCTGTTCATCTGCCTGTCTATCTTCGGATAAGAACACTTTATTGTACTTCAGCCATTTCTAGTTGTTCTTCACGTCTGTGTTTGAAGCCCCCGCTGCTGCTGGTGCTGCCACCATCGTCCAACTCCTTAGTCTCGTTCTTACGGCACCTTCTGCAGATTTTTACTAACAGTACCAAAACTGCAACAAACATCAGAATGTAGATCACCTGAAACACCACTGTGAAACAAAACCACACGCCTTTCTCTGAAGACTGCCCCAGTTTGTCTATTTCAGCCGTTGTTTGATGAATCGCTGTGAACCCTTCGGTCACTGACGATGTTTTTATAGTCGTTGGCGAAGCAGAAGTCACACATCCTAATTGGTCAATAACATTCCAGTGTCTCTGTTTTAAGTTATCAGGAAACTCGCAAGTCACGTTCAAATGACACGACTTATTACGGATACACTTGTAATAAACATCAGCGGAGTCACAGTCACAAATCCAAGGATTTCCTTCAAGATCCACGGCACCAATCCTAATAAATGCATCTACAAGCGTGGCATTGATTCTGATGAAATTATTGTGGCACAGGGAAAGCGACCTGAGATCTATCAGTCGTCCAAAATCATGTACATGTAAATTCTCTAGGGCATTGTGGCATAAATCCAACTTCTGAAGTCGATACAGGTGGCGAAAAACTCCAGTCTTGAGAGAAACAATCTCGTTATTGTCGAGATAAAGCTGGTGAAGTTCTTGCATATTTTTGAAAAAGTCTGAGGTTAGGTTCCTTAAATTACAACGCGAGAGGTTCAAAAATTGCAATTGTGAAAGGAATAAGGTACTTGGCAGTGTCAACATGCTGTTGTCAGCTAAAGACAACCACAAGAATTTCTTGTTGTACATGAAAATATCCGGGACTATTGTAATTATATTGTTGCTCGAAAGATCTAAGTAACTCAAGGATTTTAGCGTTAAGAATGCTTGCGAGTTAATGTCAGTGATTTTGTTGTGAGAGAGGTTCAGGTGGGTTAACAAAGGGATGTGCTTCAGAGAGGTCTTGTTCAGGACAGTAATGTCGTTGAAGGATGCGTTCAACTTGGTGAGATCCTGGTTGAATCCTGTTTCTGGTAGTTCAGTCAAAGACGAGTTTATGCAGTCTGCACAGCACGCAGTTAAGCAAAAACACTGCAAGGGACATCGTCCCAACACAGATGAGGCCATGATAGACGACGTAAGAGCTACCACAGCAGCCAACATGAGACCTGACATGCTATTGAGTAGTTAAGTTTCCATACATGCGTTTAAGACTTCGATCGGATCTTCAAGAGACAAATAAAAATATTACTCTCAGTTATTTTAATTTATGACTGATAATATTACACGGTTCAAGGTTAACTTTGAAATCCAAGTATCGTTTGCGCCATATTTCTTGGGAAATCAATAACCAGATGATGCTTCGTATACGAGAATGTATTCTTGACTGTAAGACACTGCGCCACATTGTACTTTCTGTTTCATTTTCGTTACACAATTTTATGTTGATAATTTATTTCGGTTGTTGGTAACTGACGTGTCTTCTGCATGTAAATTAAAAATTCTGTACAATGTTCTTGTTTCTATGTGTAAAATAACTCAACGTGATGCTTTCATTCTACAGGATAAAACAATACAAACCAAGATCCTTGCACTACTACATTGAAGTCACAACTTGAAGCGATCTTTTCTTCTTTTCGCTGACGTAAAACAGAAAATATGGAACTAACATAACATGCTAACAGACCACCTCTGCTGCTGGAGCAACACGAGGTCACACACGATTCGTATCGAATACTATCGATATTCGTCTTTTACTTTTCGTCACACACTGAAATTTTCCTGCAAACTGTAATGAAAGGGTTGAATGGATTCTTGTCTGAAAATGAGAAACTCGAAACGAGTAAACTAATCGTTATCAGCAGCGTGATAAGAGGCTTAAATAAATAAGGGTGTTTGCATGGGGAGGCCTCTCCCAAAACTGCCAGTGATAAAATCGATATTTGAAAAAAATATCACAGTTTCCTTGTATATTATAAAACAAAAAAGTGATAGTGGAACCACGGTTCCGGAGAATTTGACGTAAATACGTCTATACGGAAAGGAAATTTATATATTGGCATTAATCTAAATATTTCCTTCATACATGCTTTACAATTGAGTAAAGTTTGATTAAGACATTGCTTATTCAACTTCAATTAGTTGCGCTTGAAATGGGTCTGTAGTAGCTAAATGTATTGTAAAGTAATGTAATGTAAGGTAATGTAATGTAAGGTAATGTAAGGTAAGGTAATGTAATGTTTTATAGGTAACAACAATGCTAAGTAAACAGATGAGGTTTCCTAAGTAACATAACAATGAAGTTACAAATTTTCGTTTCCCTTTTTCGTTCCACTTTTTGCCGAATGACACTGACCCTAAAATATAGACGTATTTACGTCAAAAGTTGACGAAGTCCGTCCCACAGCTTTTCGTATTGCTTTATCAAATCATGTGCCGGGACGCTTTAAATTCAAATGCGATTTCGCTCACTCAACAACAAATATAATTCCAAGAAATGTCCTCGCATATTTTATTAAGCCGTGTTCTGCCACCTCTTCGTCCTGTTCTGCTTTCTTCCTTTCCTCTACAGCTGCTGTCTTAATATTTTCACAAGCGTTACATTAAAAAAGATTCTATATTCTTTACACCGGCAATTTTAGATATTGATATCCTTGTTGGACAAATAATAATATTGTCTGTACTCGTTCCTAACTTGATTTTAAAGTTATTTTCATATGTGAACTGTGAGATGGGAAATGAAATTATTAAGAAATTAAAACTTAAAACAGGATAAATTTGTCATAGTTTTGACACGCCTTGGACGTTTCATTTAGAAACTACAGCCTATATTTACTGTAAGTTTTAAATATTTTAAAATTGTCTTTCCACATATGTATTTTCGTAGATTATTGCAAAGTTAATATGCTCAGACGCACAGAATCTACATTCAATGAGATTTCAGTTTCCCCTGGAGTGTGTTTTCTGGTAGAAGTTAACCGGTGTTTCAGAGGTCATTACTACCTTCATCATCAAGATATATCCCTCGAATATCAGTCATTTTCTACCAGACAGCATGGTGAAATATCCCAGAAGACATTTTCTTCATACTTGCAACTCTGAGAACCAGAAATTTCACCTTTACACACCTGGTGTATGCAAACATTATCTGCTGTGGAGATATTTTATAAAATGATCAGCTCTTTGTAAGTTATATTCCCGTTTTGTAATACCTAACAAATACGAAAGGAAATCTTTGTGTAGATTTTGCTAACGGAGTACAGGTAACTTGATCAGTACATTAATTCTGGATAGCAGCCATCATTAGAATACTGTGCAAAGAATTTCTCCGTTGCAACAGCTAGCACGCTGAGGAAGTAGAGCAGTGTTTGGGGAATTTCCATCATGAGTATCATGAGTAAAATACCGATTACAGAAGAAATCTACAAATGTCAAGAAACGTATTTCCCCGCAAAAGAAACGCTTTTTCCACACTGTGGTACGTGAAACTAGAAAGGTTGCATTTAAATTTTTTTAGAATATTTTGTGGGCATTACATGTATCAATATTGATAAGATGTGTTACACGTGAATTAATTATTGTGTTTTACTGCTGGAACTTACAGTTGAGAAATTTCGAGTTTTTGATGCAACTGCGCCTTTTTACGTTTGTAGGCCAGAATCACAGCATTTAGGAGTTAACGTTCAAATTTTCTAGTGGACTGAGATTTTCCAGGCATTTTTTTGTTTGTTTGTCATTAGTCTTCCGGCTGCTTTGATGCAGTCCTCCATTTTTGTCTATCTTGTGCCAGCCTCTTCATTTCCACATATTTTTTACAGCTCACATCCTCAAAAATCTGCGTCACATATTCCAATCTTTGTCTCCCCCTACAATTCTCCCCTTCAACTGTTCCTTCCATTACCAAATTAACCAATCCTGGGTGCCTCAAAATGTTTCCCACCATCCAGGCATAGCAGTGGACAAATTAAGAAGTGGTAGTCGGGCTTGCATCTTAGTTAATCTTTCTTCTGCCCCTCTGTGATAATATCCAACTTCTTTTCGCTCCATTTACAAGTACAAATCAAATTTCGGGATTGAACTTCCGCTTTAACATGAAGACATTATTTCGAAACTTGCTATCCCATCTACTGAGTTAAATATGTACTACTTTATTCTTTGCTTCACATGCACAATAGGAATTACAGCGTTTTGTTAATTGTCTACACATTCGTAGTTCTAAAGTATGATTAAATTATATTTAAACAATAAGAATGCCTAAGAAATGATTTGTATAGTCTGAAAACAAAAAATATGCCAAATATCTGCATGCAGGGCAGCAATGTCGCGTGTCCTTCAAATCTATTTTTGGTGACAACAGCTGTTCGGACAGCACGCGTTTAAGAAGACATCTCCAGGTCTTCATTTACTCTGTGGTCTGCCTTCGTGAAATTGATTGTGCTTGAAATGAAAATGTGTAATTAATTAATTAATCAATTTGTTATTTTCAGAACCTGCTTATTGTCAAATGTGTTGTAATCTCTTTCTCTTGAAATCTGAATTCGTATTAACAGTTATTTTAAGTTGGCTAAAAACACTGATGGGATGAAGCTGGACATATTTTTATGGACGAGGAAACCAACTTAATGCGTTAAATTCTGTTTGTATTAATTGGTAGTTGTGATTCTAATTGGTTTCGCAAAAAAGTGACCCTAAATTTAAGAACTTATTAAAATTTTACACATACTTGCAATGAACACAAACATTAGTACACAACGGATCTATCTATCATGTTAAATTACGATACGAAGATGAAGGTTAAGTTAGGTTAGGTACCTAAACTCCGCATTCTAGACTTCTTCATTAGGAGGAAGTACACTTCACGCTCTGGCCGCTTTTATCCCGGAGAAAGAAGACTATGTTGGACAAGATCTGACATACGAAGTAATTCTAAATAAATAACTCATTTTTATGCCAGGGGTAAACAGCCTACGACCAGCTGCACCCATTCGTGTGGCCTCTTTAACATATCTGTAAGTAAATTACACATCAGCTGTTCCTATAAAGTACGACAGATCGGGGCGAAAGGAATGAACACTACTTGTTTAATTTCGTAGTTGCAATCAATCGATTTAGTCGAGCAGGGAGTTCATTCATGTAGTGTTAACAATAGTCAGTAAAATAGGTAGCTGAGACACCTCGAAGTTTGGTAAAATAGCGGTCGTTTACCTCGAAGATGTATGTGACTGCAGACAGATATCAGACGGTATTAATTATTATTCATGTGCCACCTAATTTGTGGAGAAGCCGAACTGCATGTTGACACTGATCTTCAAAGTTTCCGCCAAAACGCGTGCTAACTCAACACTGTTTCAAAAATGTTAGCTGCAATAAATGCATTTTTGAAGTATTGTCAGCCCACATCAACGACATGTTTTGTGTTGTATTCATTACAGAACTAGATCCATGCTTGTGGTAAATTTTCATGCCGACTGTAGCAAAACTCGAGGGTTTTTTCCAGTGTCCGTTGTTGAGGCTTTTACTTTACTTAAGTTAGATTTCTTAAACAGATTTGCGGCAGTTCCTTGTGACGCAGAAAATTTATACCAGTCCTCGTCTTTCGCGTGTAGAGAGTTCAAAGTGTACGAGGTGCGATCGAAAAGTTTCGCAACCAGGTTTTACGCCGGGGTTAGGCTCCTACAAATACCGGCGTATATCGAATCGGCGTAAATGAAAGACGAATTATACCGTATTTCAATAGGATGCGCTCCGGCTTCGTTCCCAGTCAGGAACTGTGTCGCCTAACTTCCTCAAGTACCTATCAATCCCAGCCATTATTCTTGCAGCCCACTGCCCCCGTCTGTCTCATAACACGAGTTTTAACACGTTTTATTGTGCGGTGCTCGCAGCCAGCGTACTGTCGACTGAGCTGAGTAGTTTCATAGTCGACACCGAGGATGGACAGTACGACGATTCTCTGCACCAGGCAGCGTGGCGTGGAGATGTGGAGCAGCTGAGGCGGCTCCTGGCTCGGGGTGTTAGCGATATCGACGCGCAACTTCGACCATTCCACGCGGCCCCGCTGAGGCTGGCGGCCATGAGTGAGTATTACGTCAGTCGACCCAGTTCGTCTCCATATTTTCCGTTCTTTATAAAGTATGATGCTCTTCGTAACATCAGTCTCCAATTACATCCGTTCCTTCTGGGAGACGGAGGTTTGGCTTCACTAAAACATTTTCATCCCATTGCAACAATAACAAAATAACAACATATGTTTCTGCAGATCGCCATGCGGATTGCGTAGCGCTGCTGTTGGAGCACGGCTCGTCGGTCGACATTGTGGACCGGAAGGGACAGACTCCTTTGTTCTGCGCTGTGAAGAACTGGGACACGGAGAGCTGCATTGTTTTGCTGCAGGCAGGGGCTTCACCTGATGGTGACCGACGGAATTTGTCCACACCTTTGCACATCGCCTGTCAGGATGGATATTCTGTCGGCGTGAAGGTACAAAATCACGTCTGGAAAGAACTACCTTCTTTTAATTGCTTCGTAGTTAGACTAACAGCACATAACCTCAAAGTTTTTATTCTTCGCTATGATCGAAAGTTTTCGCAGACAAAAATGTTTCATAGGAAGTTGTGTGCATGTTTGCAACCTATCGCTACATAAACTTTCACATAGGGCCGACCGAATGATAATGATTTATATATGGAGGCGTTGAAGGAAGACCGTTATTACGACGTAATTTCATAGTTCACACAAATAGGTTGCTTGCTTTTCAAAGATTTATAATTTCAGGCCTGAGTCATCATACCTCCCGATGTGTCCAAATTAACCGGAATCCACTGTATTCGGCCGGTCACATATATGTGTATATCCGGTTTTAAGTGGATCGGAAATTTGTTTGTAAATTTCGCTTCCGAGAATGTGTTCAGATGATTGGCTTTGCTCTTAATTTATCGCCGTATTTTTCATTGTTCAGTAGCAAAAGCCACCGCGAGTCAATTTCCGTTGTAATTTGGAAGTTAACACAAGTCATGCAGTAACTCGCACCTCGTGGAGTTTGATATAATGTAAAAAAAAGTAAAGTAAAGTTTGTCCCACTATACGCCATGTAGGCGTTTGGGGGGAGTGGAGGTATACCTCCTCTCTTCCTTGACCTCGGCACTAGATGGGGTGAGTGGTCAGCATCACGCCCCGGCCGGCTTTACCCCCGGGAAAGGACCCCGGTACCCATTGTAGAGGAGGCTGGGTGGGCCCCAGAGCCGGTCTGGACGCAGAGGATAGAGGAAAAATCCTCTGGCCCCGTCGGGGATCGAACCCCGGGCGTCAAGCCCGTAGCTAGTCACTATACTATCCCGGCTCATTGATATAATGTAATGTGGGTTTTTATATGTTTAATTTGTGAAATATTAATAATTGTCATACTTTTCCAAAGACAAAAGAATAAAAAAGACGACAGTATCACTTTTATTAAAAGTGGCTACGAAATGAGGAATTCAATACAGGATTTCGTAAAGTGTGCCGAGTTAAATTCTACCGTGAAATATGTTTCAATGAACGTAGCAAGACGACATGCAGACAGAAAGTCGTATTAGAAGTGCGGGCGAACTTACGATGCTCAACTGTTGACAGGTATTTAGTGAAAACCGCAACAAGTGTCTCGTGCAGAATTAGTATCGACTTAACATAGTGCAAAACACCACCAAATTTATAAGTCTCAAGACCGTGGTAATTCACTGTTAGCGCGCTTTGTGTTTGCAGATTCTAAATTAGCATCCACACTCCACTGCGGGCGCATCAGGGCAGAAGCATTGGTTAAAATGTATTAGCAACTCACTCACTACAATTAGTTTTAAAAGACAGTGGTCCATTTTCCGTTGCCCGCGATGCTTAAGGAAAAAGGCAATTTGAAGTGGTCGTTCGGTACATTGATCTAGAGAGGAGTACGGCTTCAGATATCATAGACTTTTACGAAGATTAAGATGAAACAGCTTAAAGTGTGTACCTCTAAAGCATGTCTGTCCGGAAAGCAGATACGCGCGTTGCCGACAGTTTCTCAATTAATTACGGGGGGAAAAATACAGTAAGTGTGAAGTTAGAGAAATGTTAAACAGAACCTTATAACTAAAACGGGAATTCGCTTACGCCAGCGGGGGTTTTGTCGTGGCGGGAAATTTACAACCTCAGGATGACCAATGTTATGGCTATTATCACTGTGAACGTTTTGCAGCTGCTACTAGACTTCGGGGCCCAGACTGAGTGTGCCTATACAACCCCCCACTGGACGCATCCCCTCCATTTGGCTGCCACCTATGGACACCTCAGTTGCTTCATTCTTATGCTAGAGGCTGGAGCAGATGTCACGCGTGCTGGCCATATTTTGCACGTCATATGCACAAAAAAGTATGATCTGCCTACGTAACTTAATGACACTTAATCAGATGTAGAGGTGTAAAATCTTCATGGCAAGGATTATTTCATGAAGTGAAAAGTCCAATGACTCCATATCATAAATATGAACGCAGTAATTGTTCCAAATGATTTCATCCAAACAGGGTTTCAGCTTTTCACAATTTGTCTCTTTGTGCCTTGAATATTCAGGCCTGTCCAACATCTATACGAACTGCTCCATTTATTAATTCTTATTCAATACTTGGATTATCTTATTATTTTTCAACATCTATACGAACTGCTCTATTTATTAATTCTTGTTCAATACTTGGATTATCTTATTATTTTAACAGTTAATACTGGTAATAGACTGCATATCATTTGCGTTAATACGACAAATGGTAATGGGTGGTTCTCTAGGTTTCAAGATATGCCTGGCACTACAAAACCCTCATTATACAAAAACTATATTATTTCAAAATGTGACAGGAATATTATAAATGTGTTTCCTATGGTAATTAAGGAGTATGACATGGGTTGAGCTCAAAAATTATAGGGAAATTGTAAAATTTTAACAGAAAGCATCGAGGGTACCACTTGTGACGCAAGGACTAAATAACGAGAATATTATTAAAATGGATCCCAGAAAAATAGACAGCAAAGTTATGGACTGAACCCAGTGATACGCCCCTTTCAATGTGGTAATTAATCTTTTGGTTCCATAAAAACAGTAAATTCTTCACCAGCTGAATAACTATCAACTTTTCAAAGACGTTTTATCTGTTTATAAGACAAAACATGCCGTCAAAAAAACCAGCGATCACTTAACAGTGACATTTTTTGACTCACTCGTTCTTGCTTGTTTGATTTACAGGTGTGATCCACTGTTTGTGCACCTGTGGGTGCAATTTGGTGGCAACCTGTGGGACAGGAACCACAAACAAGAGCTGGCCACCGATCTTCTTGACAACTGCCATAAAGACCTTCTCAAAGAACTCATGGGTGAGTGATTCATTCTCAGTTCACAATTCTCTATCAGCCTCAAACTTGGACCCAATCGACGAGTGCACTTGTTGCTCTGCGTCAAATAAAAATACAAGTCAGAAGGAAAATTTAATTCTCGTTCATACGCAAGAAGCGTTACCTCTGTTCTACAAGGAACTCGAATAAAAAGTTAATGCTTTTATGATATTTGACTCGCCATATAAAGAAATGTAATTCTTTATATCCCAGCTGTCTACTGATTGGCTCTCTAGCCTGTCCCACTGTTTGACAAATTTCTTTTCTCCAGCTCCCCCCAGGGTTTGAGGCCAGACTCAAACAGTACAAGGCACAAATATAAATCCGGTGAGATTTGAGATTCTCACAATGGCAGTTAAGAAGCTGGTCTTCTTCTTGAAATGTAGTATTGTTTAGATCTTACTGCCTCCATCATCAGGGTAATGAACAAGCCAAGCACAGAAATGTTGTGATATATACAAAAGTTGTGTGGACAAGGCGGAGCCCCATTTGTACCAATGGAAGATGGGAGAAATGATCAGAGCGGGAGAACCAATGGGTCAGAAGATGACCTCAGCAAGGCCATATGTAAGACGAGACTTAATGGAAATTCCTATGTAGTGCCATGTCAATACGCAATACGTGGCCTCATATAGTGCCTATTAATAACATTAATTTACTGTCAAATTCAGTGGTCTCGTCTCATGTATTATTTATATACACTGACGGCCGATATATTTTTTGGATAAAGTTCAGTTAGTATTTATCACCAAAAGCAAAGTTTATAAAGGAATGAAAGTTTATTCTTGAAACAAAAACATGTAAGACGTTCATACAGCCTAAAACAGTTCAGTAAAATCATGCCAAATGTTCTAATTTGAAGCACTACCATTTTGGCCCCATTGTACATTCCTGAAACTACAGAATCATATAGCTCAGTAAAAATATCTGCAGATTTCGTACAATCCGTACGACTGGGACGCAGGGTGTGTACATACCGACAATAAGAGAAATAAATAGGAGGAGAAGGTAGAGAATCAGCGATACTTTAGGACTGAAAATTTTTTGTTTCATCCTAGCACCTTTCTTTTAGAATTCTGATATGATTCGACAAGCCACAGAATACTAAACAATGTTGACACTACGACAAACAATAATACACGAATGACAAACTTACAGATAGTAACAAATAACCAAGGAAGCATACAAATAGGGCCCGATATTTTCTGTTTAGGAGATTCACTCTGCATGCACAGAACCTCATTCCACATCTTCCTCACAACTATCACCCAAAACCTCACATCTTGCAAGGTTACAGAAACCACGTAATCAGAAGCACATCAGTGGGCCACAGATTCCAAACCCCTGGACTGTTTAATTTCACCGAGTTGCATTCAGGGTATTAAGAGTAAAGGCTGGCGACTGTCTCTGGGATTAGACGTAATTTTTATGAAGCCAATATTATTTTCACGTCCCATTGGTTGCAATGGGACATACCCCTGCAAAATAGAACAAGAAAATAAAATTGAGTAATTTTTCGGTTTTTTCAACTCTTTTGGTATTTCCTTAAAAATTCTTAATTATCTCATGCCTGCTGCCATTTGCCTACTATCTGCCTTGATTGATATCCAAGTTTCTCCTCCATTTGTTAATATGGACAAAAAATAAATTTTACTGGATGAGCTAGGGTCGTTCAGTCAGCATAGCGACTGGCTACAGACTGAACGACCGGGATTCGATCCTCGACGCATGATCGACTTTCTGGGCATGTGATACCTTCACTGTAGCCCTATCATCCATTAATTTTCAGGGTTATAAGACCTCACATACATCGGAGGTGCCACGGATAAAATGCGTGCTCTACCTCATTATTATAAGCTGTACTCGAATATTGGCCCTCCCACCTCGACAGTGTACAATGGACAGATCCGTATCTTCAGTAAATGTAGATCAAGACGTAGGAAATATGGAAAACGGCAAGAAAACTTGTTTCCGCTCATCATGAACTACATTTTGGCTACATGTTGCTCAACAGATATATAAATGGATGATAAAAGTAGCATGTTGAACGCTAGTATTTATAAGAGAACGTACTGTCTATCTTGTAACTACTACTAGTTAACTTATATAAGAAAATTTGTGCAATATTTCTTTCTTGTTTTACAGAAAATCCGTTATCATTGGAGTCAATTTGCAGACTGAAAATTCGGAAGCTTATGGGCCGCAGACGTCTGCCTCTGATACACACATTAGATGTCCCTCAAGTTCTGAGGAACTTCCTCATGTACAGAGACATCCCTGAAGTGAACCTGTGTATAACAACCCTAAATTTGGAATTGAGGAGGTCCATATGAAGATGACAAAATGAATTCACTTGTGTGATAAATAACACTGAAAATACCATTGGAAGACAAAGTAAATTCGTTTTAATTCTGATTAAACCATTGATTTCTCTTTTAAAAATCGGGAACATTGTTACACAATTAGTGTGTTAACAAGTAATCTTGACTAACTTGCATTTTATGTGATTTTGCTATTTGAAATATAATGAGATATGAAGACATTCAAGTGTAATATGTACTGTACTATGTACCTTGAACCCCTCCTAAATAATTATGTATTCATTCCTTTGACATCTTATTATCAATATGTAAGTCACGGAATAAACAGACCAGATAGTGGAATAACTTATATCAGTAGAAATTAGTATGTTTTGGGAAATAACGGATGTATAAATCTCACACTAAGGATACATAAATTTGGTGCTATCTTGAGGAGGACATCCGGACCCCTCAGCCGTCAAGATGACTACGGTCACAGGGTCTGTTTGGGAATTGCCTCATTTCCGTTACCATAATATGACTATTCATTTTTTGATCCTATATAAACCACTATCTGGGCTGAAGAGGGACTATTCTATGACTACTATTCTATCACTGCTGTTCACTGGAACGTCAGCTTACTCTTTAAATAAACTCTACTTGGACGTGGACGCTGGTTGTTGCTGATTCACCTCAAAGCTTCCTGCGTGAGGGACTTAGCTTCCTCACCGTACCAACTGATTATCCCGACCAATAGAAAACCTATCTGGAACTCTACTACTACAACTACAAGATTACCTGGTAGCAACGACAATATAACATCTACTACAAAAGATAAAAAACATTACATGGTGGCAGCGGTGGGATAACAGGGAGCTATATCACCAACATCCAGAATTTTCGACGGTTGACCAGGCCGGAGGGACTTCGAGTCTGTACCGAGGTGGACCAAGCCTTTCCCGAGGGAACAACGCTCCGGAGGAATCCACAAGGCGCCGTGGTACCTGTTCACCAATGGTTGAAGCCAAGTCCGTGATTGGAGGCCATCATCAGCAGCCCTACATTAGCTGAAAATGATTTGGAAAATGATCAGGATAATAATTACATTTCTGTGGTACAGGCCATAAAATTGATTCCTAGTACATTTGATGGTAACCCTAAACTCTTGCGTGAATTTATTGAGGGAGTCGAAGCTGCGATCCAAGTAGTACATCCAAACAAACAACAATTACTTTTAAAATTTATAGAATCCAAAATAACAGGCGATGCCAAAGATAGGTTATTAGCCAGAACAGAACGAGAAACATGGATACAGGTCAAAAATATCCTGGAAGAAAATTTTTCAGTGCGACGTACTTTGGAATATTATGCTGGTGTTTTGTTCACGTCTAGACAGGGCATGAATGAAACAGTAGCCCAGTGGGGGTCGCGATTAGATGGAATGGCAGTTGACTTACGAAGAGAAGTTAGAAGCAGGCTGGAGAGATTGGAACGACGGGATGATGCCAGATATGTCGAAGGGGGTTTACAGCTTGTAGGAGAAATTTTAAAAGGAACCTTTATTGCGGGGTTGAAAGACGAACGCATTAAGTACATTGTTAAGGCAAAAGGAGAAGAAGAATCCTTAGCCCAGTTAGTAGAAACAGCACTTCAGGAGGAAAGTGAAGTAAAGTCGCAGAGGTTTAAGGGAAACCAAGGGGGACAATGGTATTCACCTTCAGGAAGTATAAAGAGGGACTTTAAAGGGTCACAGGGACCTCAAATCAAGAAGGAAATAAACCTGGCCACTGATACTCGGTGTTATCGTTGCCAAGGTCTAGGACACGTTGCGAAGAACTGTAGCAATGTTCCGCAATGTGGTAGGTGCAAAAGACGGGGGCATGAAGCACGTCAATGCAAACAGGGAAACAGGCAGTAGAGCTGCCTGGACAGTCGCAGACAGCTCAAGGTTTAGGCTGTACATTAATGGGTGACATGGAGTCACAAATGGTTAATTTGGTTAGTGACATGGAGTCACAAATGGTTAGTTTAGTTGATGAGAAATCACTAAAACTTGGAAATCAAAGGGACGCCTTTGAACATGTTTTGGGGCCATATAAAATTTATATCATATGTCCACAGCTGAAAGGAGGCATTGGAATAGCGCTAGTAGATACAGGGGCACAAGTATCTCTAGTTCAGGAGACCTCAATGGTTAGGAACATTGCCCAAAGCGAAAGCGATATGGAAATACAAGGAATCGGTGGGAACACAGTTAAAATTAAAGGTAAAGTTACTTTAACATTGAATAATTGTACGAAACCAATAAAATCAGAATATTACGTAGTCATGTTGATGTAATATTAGGACAAGATTGGTTTTTGGAAAATGATTATATGTTAACAAAAAATGTCAGAGTATCTTTTTTATACCTCCGTATAGCGAGACATTAGTTCAATTTCCCAC